ACTATATATTCAAAATATTGTAAGAACGTGAATGGTAGTTACTGAGAAGAATTGTTACTTTTTGTGTTCGTTCTTTGCACCAACTTCGATGTGTGATGTATGGTGTTCTTATCTCTTCTAATCGGTGCTCCTTCCGCTTTAAGATTACACCACCGAAACAGGTTTCATTGGGCGCTAAGGTCAAAATGTGATGTTACAGGGCACGCTTGCTGAGCGAATTCGAGCAGCAGGAGCTGGAATACCAGCATTTTATACTCCAACCGGGTATGGAACGCTGATACAGGAGGGAGGTGCTCCGATCAAGTACAGTCGAACAGAAAAAGGAAAGATCGAAATTGCAAGTCCTGCTAAAGAAGTGAGTTAGGTGAGGAACGGCCTGACAAAAATGTGGGTTTACTTGTGAGGGGCAGGTTTGGCCCAAGCAGATGCAAAGTGGTCAAGAAATGAGTTTTCTAGCATACATTTGCATTTCACCCTTTATCCATTCTTCCTTCTTTAGTATGCCTTATTACTACTTTTATTTTTTACGAGTGATAGTAACTGACTGATTAAATACTTGTAGACCCGTGTTTTTAATGGATATAATTATGTAATGGAAGAAGCGATCTGGGGAGATTTCGCCCTCATCAAGGCTTGGCGAGCAGATAAACTTGGCAACATTCAGTTTAGGTAGGTTGTCATTTTTACTAAGTTCGTCTCCTACAAGATTTCCGTTATGTAGAGCGAAAGCTTCGAGGGTCTCATCCAGTAAAAGGGGCATGTGGTACGACTCATAGAAATTTCTATTTTGCAAGGAATGGGACTCTGGGGTGCGTGAACCATTTCGCTTCCGCTTTTACGCTCACCCCGGGGCTTCCTCCCCTGTGGGAAACTGGATTACTTTATGCAATGTGGATTGTCGCACCACGTCATGCCCCCCTTACTGGATGAGACCCGGTTTTGAGATTGTGAAAGGGTAAAAGGGACCAAGAAGGTCAAGAGATCTTAGACATAAGACTGCATCCATACTTCGCAGGCAGACGCACTTTTGTCACAAATTTCGCATTGCGGACCGCAACGCAGGGTCCACGATCACTGCTCGCTGCGTGATGCGACGCTGCTGTAAATTTTTACTTTGAACCGACTCAATAGCTTCCTGCGAGATCCTTCTCGCGAACTCTTCCAACTGACCTTTAGAAACTCTTTTTCATTGATTCGCTAAACCTCCTAGAATGCTGGCTATGAATGCCATCCTAGTTCTTGGAGAGCTACATCTACCGTTTAGAGGTGGACATGGTAATACTCACCTTAGTCGCCAACTGAGAATAGTGCCGTAGCTTTGTTGGGGTCACTGCTTCATCACGTTCCTACCTTGATAAATCTGTATTTATAGGCTGACAGCCGGCAATTTCAATAACGCTATGTGCAAAGCGAGTAAATGTACGATCGTTGAAGTCGAAGAGATTGTCGAACCAGGAGTCATCGAACCCAATAATGTATGTCGTTGCGAGTTTCATTTGCTGATCTTTTGTTATGCCATTAGCTTGCTTTTGTTATTACGTTTTTTTACTCATCCTCTGTGCAGGTCCACATTCCATCCATTTATTGTGACCACTCATTACTTGGCAAGATAGCTATAAATAACCAATTGAGCGCCCAATGTTCTTGCCTCGGTGAGGGGCGTTTTTCCACGAGGTCTTTTGTTAATGCTATTACAAGAATAAATATTATGGAAAAATATGGACTGAATTGGACAGCGTTCGTTTCCAACGACGGTCACACCCACAGCCATCTAAAAAATCCCTTGGCGACTCGAACTCGCGATATTATAGACTGCTCCGTGCTGCACGTCGAGTTCGCGTGATGGAATGTCAGGTTAAACGCGGCAGTTCGTTACGTTATGCATAAGTTTTTTGTTAAAGGATCATTCTGATAAACTCTAATCATCATCATTCTGATGAAATCTGATCGTACTGTCAAAAATAATGTTTCAGTTAACCTCGGTATTGGGATTCCAACGCTGACACCTAGTTATATTCCTGAAGGTGTACATGTTCATCTTCAAAGTGAAAATGGCGTTATTGGGGTGGTGAGTTTCTTGCGTTGTTACAGTTACGTTACGATCATAATGTTCCAGAACTGTGGGACACTAAGTTCGTTCCAAAGCGTAGAAAGAGTAGCATCATTCCTAGGACTTCTCTCAATCTTTAGTTTATTGAGGTTGCTGTATCACGCATAAAGCATATATAAGGGGGGGGGGGGTCATTTTCGCTCATGGCGCACATCACCAAACTTCTCATCGTACAGGGTGCTGCCGTTGATGGAAGTTTTGCGGCAAAATATTTTCTAGACGTCCCCACGAGAGAAGCGAGCCTTCCACTGCCCTCAACGTCTTCAAAACAGAGTCAACCGTCCCTTTCCAAGTAATGGGGAGGGTCGTATTTGAGGTCAAGCGTAGTCAATCTTTTGGAGAGGTGCGAACGGGTTTGTATTAGTGGGTGTTGGAGGGGTCGTGGATGAGGCGTAATATAAACGGAATTCAGTTTCGTGAGTGAGCTTGCTGAATTTGTTTGGCTCCTGCCATTATTGAACGTTGACTTTCCAGGGTCCGTATCCCCAGAAAGGTCAAGAGGATCCAGATCTCATCAATGCTGGAAAGGAGACAATCACATTACTCAAGGGTGCCTCTATAGTTGGAAGTGATGAGTCATTCGCAATGATCCGAGGGTAGGATTGCGTCTGTTCGATATAAAACCAGTTAACCATTACCTTCTTTAGGTCACACATGGATATCACGCTTCTTGGTGCTCTTCAAGTCTCCCAATTTGGAGACCTCGCGAATTGGATGATACCTGTGAGTTATGAAGGTGTGAAGGAGGTCTTGTACCAGCATTAGCACCACACACTGTGAATCTGGTGTCTATGGAATCTTTGCCTAATTCAGGGGAAACTAGTGAAGGGAATGGGAGGTGCCATGGACCTGGTTTCTGCTCCAGGAGCTCGTGTGATTGTAACAATGGAGCACACCTCAAAAAATGGCGAA